ACTGACTTAGGTCACTTGCTCTCCTTAAACTAATCTCAGGTTACAGCTGAGGGTACATCTTCAGTCTTAAGCATCTTCTGAATCACTTTCACCCCGAAAGGAAATTCAGATAACATGGGAAACACCAATCTGAATGTATCCTGGCCCAATTCAGAATAGACACGAGCTTTAAACAATCAATTAATAATTCTGCTTGCTTTGTCTCAGTCATTCTTGGGAAAGCATTGAAAGTGAGATTGGTTTGCTGATGAGGAATTTTTTAGGAATCCACTAGAAACACCTACTCAGGAATGAGCTAATCCACGTCATTGTGCAGATCCTCTTCTGTAGCCAGAAATTTGATTTAGTTTATGCCACCTGCTAATGAGTTTCACCTTGTAAATAAGGTATGTATGAAGAAAAAGGGCAGCTATTAGTTTTCCATACCCACTGGAGAGAAATAAATTATATATATACTTGGGGCCAGCAGGTGGCATGGTGATTAAGGGTTCTGGACTGCCACATGGCAGATTGTGGTTCAAGTCCCAGACCTGGTGGCTTCCTTTTACTCTCTCTCTCTCTCTATCCCTCTCTGGTAAAATTAATATAAATAAATAAATAAAGTTAAATAAAATAATTCTAAAAAAAAAAACCTGTACCTTAAGACTTTCAGTTAGTAATTTATACAACTCAAGCACACAGAAACACTTAGGAATGACTTACTTGATCTTAAATTATTTCAAGCCATTTTCAAAGTTTTGGCCATTTTTACCTAAAATGTTTTTCCCAAATCAATTTTTGTTCCGTAGTAGAACAATTAGCAAACATTGTTAGCTGTTCTTCAGTTTCATGTCATAGTAAAATGATTCAAAAATCACTTTTTCTGATCCAACCCAAGAATCTAAACTGTAGCACAAAACAAAGCCTCACATTATGCCCTCTTAGGAACACAACTGGGCAACTGTTTCTTCTTTGCCTTGAAGTTCTGTTGTCCTCAGCAACAGCCGCCAGCAGTCTGGGGGAGTTGTAAAATGGGCTTGACGTGGGAACCTCACCACAAATTCTTCAGGACGACGTCAAAGTAATAATGTGAGTGTGCTGGAATGTGGGAGGAGAGTGGCAGCTGTTCTTTAATCTTGCATGGTATTTTCTTTTAGAAAAAAAATCAAATTAAAAAGAGAATGTACATTCAGATGAGCTAGCTTGGAACCCCTGGGTTAATCAGAAATTATGAAGATACACTGACTTCTTCCAAGGATGGGCAGTATGTCTATGTCTGATGTCCTTGTATGTAAAGGGTACCATTACCCAGGAAGCATAAGATAGGGATAACTTACTTCAGAACACAGCATCAAATATATTAGGAACATAAATCATTGTCTCATTTTACTCGCTTATTCATTCTTTCATTCAGGAAATATTTATTGAGTGTCTTAGGTATTTAAACAGTATTCGAACTCATACTGCTGTCAAATATAATCAGATACACAAAGGTTTTGCCCTTTTGGAGCCTAAATCCCATTGCAGGATGAGGATGTAAATGGATGGAACGAATTTAAAAATTTCAAACACAAATCAAATCAGGCAGTATTAAATGACACAAAACACTGACAGAGTTAAAGAACAGAGTGGTCAGGTGGTGAGGTGATGTGTGTAGGAAGTGAGGGAAGAATTCAAGCTTAAGTAGAATCCTTAGTTAAATGAGAGGACCCCTGAGATAGCTGGGCTGGTGTTCCAAGCCACAAGAACAGACAGCAGGCTCTGTCCTCAGGGATAAACCTCCCAACAATCTCATGGTAACAGGACTGAGAATCCAGTCTCTCATTGAGAGTTGGGCAAACTGGAACTCACAGATTTGTGTGCTCACATCTTCCAACTCCTGACCCTTTGTTCTAGAAAGAACAAGTGCTAGGCAAGCTTGTCAAACTTTACAAACTTCCTTCTTAATTGAGATTTTTTTTTTCTTACACACATCAGTGCTCTGGAAGTATATATTGAATGTGTGATGCAACATCAGTTCCAAGAAAACCAGAAAAAATTATAAAAACACGTATTAGAGTCTTCATTTGATAAGACACTTCAAGAAAGAATTTGAGGATTTATATCCTAGGATTGATATCATTTTCAAACAATTGTGGACTTTAGATAGTCATTCTTTCCTTTGACTCAAAAGTAGAGATGAAGAGCTTAGTGAATGTGGTTCAAAAGTTACTCTAAGAGTGACATGTGTTCTATGACTTAGAACTTCAAATAAAATGTGAAGACAAGAACATGGTGAAGAGGATTTTCGATCCCATTGTGGTAGAAGCATTTTAAAACAGTTTTGCTTGGTTTACTATTTGTGTCAGAAGGATGTGGGCTTGGGTGGAGTTGCAAGATTAAGTTTAACCTAGATAGCAAAGCTTTTGAAATGCGAGAAGTGGGCAGGAGAAGAAGCTATAAAGCTCAGGAACTAAGAGAATTGCCCAAGCAAATAGTGCCAGTCCAATCAGTAGTGAGTTTTCTGCTCACCCCCCTGTCCTGGATGTTGGAGAGGAGTAGGCAAGGGGACTGTACTTGGTAGTTTCCCAGATCTCAGATCCTATCAGCTTCTCTTAGTCTCTTTCCACATACTTATTTTTTTTTAATTTAAAATAAAAACACTGTGGGAACTAGCAGATATGAACATTGTTATAGTCTAATCAGTAAGAAATGAGAGGACATTCTGCCATAGCCAAATTTATTGGGGTTTATTAAGCTGGCAGCATATGGAGTGACTCATGCCTCTCAAAACCATGCAGCCCAGTGTGGAAGGAGAGGGGTGCTTATATAGGCCAAAATTCCAATCAATTCTGGGTTGATACGGTGATTACAATGGAAACTGAGGAGAGGAGTGAAGAGGAAAGGGAGTGGGGTTCCCATGTGAAAGCAGTTACAGATGCTGAATCAAGTGGGTTAATTATTTCTAAGGGCACCCTCTGGACCTTTGTTTAATGGTTCCCATGGCTCCTGGCAAGGGTCTTGGGCAGGGGTCTGGTGACTGGTAGTTACATTGCTAAGCAACATCTAAACAAAAAGGTTTTGGGCTAGTTAGTAAAGACAGTAATACTAGTAATCACTCTGTGTACTCTGGGAAGAAAGGAGAAAGCGAGTATAACTAACAGTTCCAAGATGGAGGTGCTCCTGCCTCAACATGAGTGGCTGAAATTGGCTTTGCTCTCCAGTCACCATGAACCCCTTGCTCCTGCTGTGACCATCTGTGTCTGATTTACCTCAGCCACTCTTGTAAATAACCATGTTAGGGCTACATTTTTCTTTTCTAAAGAGGTTTTTGCCTTAGGGCATGTGCTCTCCCAGGAGGGACAGAGATACAGTGAGAAGAATCATGCTCCCCCCCTACCCCAGGGGAAATGACCACACCACAATCCCTACTCCATATTCCTCCTGGGATCTTGGGTATGTACACATGTACGCCTGGCATGATAGATTTTCTTTTTCTTTTTTTCTTTCGTTTTTTTTTTTTTTTTTTCAGTCTGAAAACAGCCACTGTTTATTTACTGACCAGATTACAAAAATAATCATGGTGGATACTTTAGTTCATCCTTCTAATAAGTCTGTTGATCTGGTCTTCGCTGTGGCCAGCATCTCTACCTTCTACAAAACGGGTGGTCTTTTTCTTCATTCCACCTCATGGAGAAGATAATTTGAAGGGCCACAGGAAGTTATTTGTTTCTTTGAAGTCTTTTCCAACACTATAGATTTCATGAATCAGATCCTCCATGCAGATGTGTGTGTGTGTGTGTGTGTGTGTGTGTGTGCATGCTTAAGAAGATTTCTCACTTTCCTTCTCTCTTTGCCCCTCTCTGGCAAGCGTATGCACTCTATGGAAAAAAAAAACAAAACAAAACAAAAAAACCTCTAAAAAATAAAAATGTTAGGAAGCAACTTCTAACTGCAGCAGTACCATTACCAGGAAGGCTCTGTAGGAATGCCACATGGTTAAATTCTATTGACACAGGAGTGCTGAGTGATCAGACCCAACATTCATTCGGTTCCTGGTCTATGCTCATGAAGAATTAGAGGGGTGGGTGCAGAGAGGAGAGGAATGCTGAATTTATTAGGGAAGGAGAAAAAGCTTCCAATATAGTGGAAGTAGGCCCAAATGAGTTGACAAAGAGGGGCTGGAGGCAAGGGGTTTTTATCTATCAGAAGGAGCAATGGGCTGGCTTTCTGATAAGGAAGTGGGCTTTAGAAAATGATTACATGATAGACTGAGTGATTTATTACTCTATTCTTTGTGGGATCAGTTGACCATAGCGTCCTGAACTTCTTATTAAAATATAGTTCTTGAATAGAAACTGTTGCCCTCAGCTATAGTTGCTTTGAGTCCCAATGCAGCCAGCTTTTGGCTGTGAGACTTTAGCCTCGGTGACTCCATCTTGGGTAAAGCCCAAGATGGAGTCACCTGTCTGTGCCCAATGTCCCTATCTCTGCCTTATTAGCAAGGAGTCATAAATTCTTTAGAGACATGTAAAAGGGGTATCCATCGTACATTAGTCAGACCACACAGGAAAAACAAGAGCCTTCATTAAAAAGAAAAACACAGTGACTTCTTTTCAGAGGCCTTACCCTATCTACCTGCAAGTGGGGTCTAACACCTATCTCACTATCGCTTTGGAAGCTGTGATTCCATCAGCGTGTACGCCAATGAATTGTAACTGGGCAAAGGTTGAATGTAAGCTGATCTCCTTGAGTTAGTGTGTATGTGACTGTTTCTTATCTAATAATGAGGAATCGTACAGTATCTACAGGCAGAAGACCTAGGTGGAAGATACGCTTTTTCGAAGGAAATCATTTTGGTCAGATCACTAAACTGTGTCTGACTTTCCTATTTGTATAATGGAAGAAGGAGGAGGAGGAGTGATGCTAGAAGAATCAAGGATACTTTTTTGAGAGGGCCAGAAATCAGGTTCAGACGCTCATTGCTTAACTAAAAGATTAATATTTTAGTGAGACTGGAACTGGAGAAGGAGCAGACAAGAGTCCATAACCATCTCCTCCTCACTGGAAGAAATACAGAATGCACTGGAAAGAGTCAATGTGAGTGCACACCTAGAAGCAAAGGGTAACCGTTTCATTGTCTTGGAGGCAAAATCATGAGGTGGCCTCTCATTGTCTTTAGGCAGGATCACTCGGGGAGGCAGTCAGTGCTTGAGGAGCATGTTTTGTTCCCAGGCTTGCAGGATGGAAAGACCAGTTTCAGTTTTTTGCCAGAAGCTTAAATCTAAGCAATGTTTTAGAAGGAGCAGAATCAAGGTAGAGTCAAGAAAATCTTTGGCTTCTGCTCTAGTAGTGGTGTGGATCTGGGTGTAGCTTTGCCCGGCTTAATCTGATAACATCTGCCTCAGTGTAACCACATATGCAGGAAGGGGCTGGTGGTGTCTTCCTCCTCCCTATCTTCATAGCCAGATATCTGCAAAACTCAGAAAGGTTATTGTTAACGTTCAGTAGCTAAACATTAGGCTAGTTTCATTGTGAGGGAGGTAAACAATTAATTCTATAAAGTTCAGGAAAGAGCTATTAAAGACTTCCTAAGGGTTTAATCTGTCAAAATGGACTCAGAAACTAAGGCCATTATGGAGTCACTGGTTCTCTTATGGCTTGGTTACAAGAGGAGCACCAATAAACACAGCTACACTTGCTTTCCCTTGAGATGTGACTGTTTTGAGGACCAAGAGGATGAATATTGTGCAACTACCGCCTCAACTATAAAGTGCTATGTCCACCATTTCTGCCAAGAGCCTCTTTGGGGAGCAGACACAGGAAGCAAGGATCAACAATTGGAGCAGAGCGAGTTTGAGAGGTTAACACTCTGTGTTTGAGAGGGACTTTCCAAAATCATAATGCTTTTACAAATCAGCAAAGTACTCCAGTTCGAACTCTCTTTTCACATGTGAATATATTTTATCTTAATTTGATATCTTAGGAAGTTGGTGGAGAACAAATTCTGAGTCAACTTACCAAGAGGTCTCTTATCTCTGGAGCCATTGATGAGATTTAGCTTCCCTGAATCTCATAAATCTTACAAAAACTCACAGCTCTTGCTTTAATGATTTTAAATAAATAATCCAAGATTACTGCCAACATTCCTAGAAAAGACATACAATAGCTCTTTATCTGTAGAGGTGTTTGTTTCAATTACACTCTATGCTGAACTTTCATCGCATAATGTCACAGCTTGGTTTAGATTCATTTTACTGGGTTACATATATCCTCTCTTGCTGGGGTACACATTCCCAAGGGGATAGGTATCTCTTAGAAAGAAACCAGAAATTAAAAAAAAATTTTTTCTGTTGTTTTTCCATAGGTTATGGCAAGCAGCTTCTCTGGAAAGGCAAAATAGGAGTGGGTTTTCCAAGAAGAGAAAGACTTTTACTTTAAGAGAGGTGGCTTATACTTTGAGAAGTATATCTAAAACACTTTTAGAGGATTTAAGCACCACATTTGATTGTGATGTGGATCAGAAAATTATACCTCAATGCATAGTGCTCTGGCATAACAACCACTTTGAATTAAAGGAAATTAGAAGGCCTTGGAAGCTGGCTCAGAATCAAGGTGTCTCTCTGACCATACCTTGTTTCCCCTTCACCCTTAACCCCCCAAGCACAGGGAGAGGCCTTCTTGGAAGTTCCCTTATCCAACAAAGAGAAGTTCTCATCCCAGAAGAAAGAAGTTATGAAATGTCATTAACCAGGAAAAAGATAACCCTTGGAGAAGAGTCTACAAATCAAATATCACACTTAGAGCCCAGATGAATTTTGTTCCAGGCCATTATCTGTTCTTTGTGAGGCCCACTCATATCACCTAAACATCATTTACTCATCCTCTATAACTTTCCTACAGCCCTCATTTCCTCCCCTCTATGAAGAGAGCATTTAAAATTCAGTCATCTGGCTGTTCCTGGAGTTTTCACACTTTGTATGACTTCCAAGAACTTGCTTTTTATTTTTTTCAAATTGCCAGAGGGCTTGTACACTCATCCCAGACAGAAAAGGAGAGGGAATAAGCAAACTCAAGTGGTGCATGATCATCCCTTCTCCTCTATTTCTCCATCCTATTGGAAATTGGGGCAGGCATGCACATATGCCTGGTGCAGGTTGACTGGGCTGGGATCTGAACCAGGGTTAGCCATGTGGTTTTAGGCTCCCTTAATCACTAGGCCACAGGTCTGGCCTTGCACTTGCATGTTAATAAGTTTGTATGCTTTTTCTCCTATGACTCTGTCTATAATTAGTTTATCTTGGTAGGCTTTAATTACTGAACTTTCAGAGGGGGAGAAAAGTTTCTTCAGCCCCAACAATTACACTTCTCCTATCTGCAATAGGAAAAGTGATAAAAATAGCTTCTACTCTTGAAACTCCATTGTTAAAAAGAGAGCCTATTTTACTCTAAATTATTTTTAAGAGATCAACGATCCCTGACCAGTCTCCTTATTTTGCCAGATAAATCATTGAATATTCTTGTTAAATCACATCTCTTTCCATATCCCTTTCCACACTTAGCATAATGGTGATTTATGGCTGTTTTTATAGTTATTTTATTAAAGGGCACAGGCTGTGAAGCCAAACAACAGGATAAAATACCGACTTTCAGGCCTGCAGAGCGGCATAGTGCTAAAACATGGGGAGATTTCTGGTTCAAGTACAGAGACATCCCTGAATATGCCAGATGTGCACTTGCCGGTGATCTGGGGTGGGAAGAAGGCTGGGAGTGAACAGTGGCATCGGGACCCTATTGGGAGTGTTGTTTCTCCCCGACTAACCTCCCCCCTCCACACACACACACCCTTTGTTACTCTTATTCATGGAAGAAATAAACATTAAACAAATTTCTGACTTTGCTACTTACTACCTGGGTGAGAGCAATTTAATGGCTGTGTACTAGTTTCCTTGCCTGTATAGTAGATACAGTAATAGTCACTATCTCACAGAGTTATGAGGACTTCTATAAAGGCAATGGCATATAATGATGTCTTCCACATAGCAAGAGCTCAGAGAATGCTAACTTTTTTTTGTTTTGTCATAACTCTTACAATTCAAGTTTTATGAAGGCAGGCAAATACAACATTGCCTAACATCTATCACAATGTTATACCAAAGAACTCACTTGGTAAGCATTTATTAAATAAACAAATAGGCAATTTAATCTGTAATATTTTATCCATGTGTTCATGTATTTTTACTGTGGAAGTAATTCCAGAAAATAAAGTAGAAAGCAAAACCAGTTGGAAGGTTGTGGTAGAGATTGGATCTGGAGTACTTGACATTTAACCTCAATTACCTCTTAAATTATTACAAGACAAAATGAATAAAATGTTAAAATACTGTAGTCTGAGAATAGTGTAAAGAAATTGTACATACTTGTTAAATTATGTGTTGTAGTTAAACAGTGTTGAGTGTAGATAATGACAAGGAGAATGTTTCTTCTTTCCTTTTCTTTTTTTAGACAGTGTCTCTCTCATGAAGCCAGCAACTGATAATACTGGTTAAGATGCTGGACTCCCACATGGTAAACCATGATTCAAGTCCCAGGCCTGCCAACTTGAAACTCTCACTGGCGTGTGTGCATGATTGCCCATAATCCTGAGAGGAGAATGGAGGAGAAGGGATTGCAACATGCCCATCCTCCCTGGGGGTGATTTCTCACTTTCTGTGTCTCTGTGTCTCTCTGTCTCTCTGATGAGTACATATACTATATAGCAAAAATCTCTCTCTAAAAAACAAACAAGCAAACAAACAAACAAAAAACAACAACAAAAAAACAGTGTCTCACCATGTTGTGATCCTCTTGGGTTTGCAGGTGTTTACTATTACACCTGGCCATTGGATTGGGTCAAGAATATGAGCACACCTCCCATCTGATCCCAGCCTGTGGAACATAGTATCTTAACAGCACGTACCAGCAGCTTGGCCTAGATTACATTTTCAATATCAATACATGATACCCCAGAGCCTAATGCTAAACATTTACAAAACATTAAAGCTTATAACAACACATTATATAGTCAACTGATCATTGACAAAGGAGCAAAGTCAGTGCAACCAAGGAAAATCATCTTTCAAACAGTGGAGCTGGGAAAAACAGACAGCTACATTCAAATATATAAATCTAGACAGACATTATACTCATCATAAAAATTAACTCAAGGTGAATTATAGACCTAAACATAAAATGTAAAACTATTAAACTTCTAGAAAATAATAGAAAAATTTTAAATGATCTTGCATATGGTGATGACTTTTTAGCTACAACACTAATGGCACCATCCATTAAAGAAATAATTGATAAGCTAGACTTCATTAAATTTAAAAACTTTTTTTAAAAGAGATTTTTGCTATAGGGCATGTGCACTCACCGGAGTGGCAGAGAGAGATAGACAGAAATTGAGAAATCCCCCCTCCCTCCCAAGAGGGATGATAATGCTGCAATCCCTTCTCCATTCTCCTGTCAGGATTTTGGGCATGTACACAAATGCCCCTGGCCTGAGTTTCAAGCTGCCAGATCTGGGACTCGAACCATGGTCAACTATGTGGGTGTCCAGCAACATTACTGTTATGCTACCTGTTGGTCCCAAATTTAAAAGCTTTTGCAGAAAACACAGCAAGACAATAAGAAGAGAAAAAACAGAGTGGAAGAAAAAATTTACAAGACACATCTAATAAAGACCTGACATCTAAAATATACAAAGAACCCTTAAAACTCAACACAAGTCTGATTGAAAAATAGGCTAGGCCCAGCCTGGTGGCATTCTTGGTAGCATACAGACTTCAGTGTTGGAAGCTGCGCTGATGGTGGCTCATACTCCTAGCCT